TAAACTATTGTCGGGCCTGTGTGACCACCAGGAATTGCTTTATAAGCTTATTCCTAATATTTATTTCTGTGGACATGGGTAGTTTATTCTCATGCATGCATAGATTGGTACTCATAAAGAGTTAAAGGCACTCATTTACAGATCTCCAGGGTTCCTTCTGTGTGAAGCTCCTTACTCTCTGGTACTCTGCTTTGTGAATTCTGGCAATCTTGGCCTCCCAAACTCTAATCTCTGTCTCTTCACCTTGAGAAGAGAGTGTTTAGGTTCCTTTTTGCTACAGCCTAGGAACTGCCCTAGGAAGAAATCTAGATAGCTATAAGAATCACATAATTTGTTACCGATTTTCCAGTGCTTAAAAACCATTATGTCTACATTTTGTCCACTTTCTTGTTGTTTAAGTTGGGAGGGTCCATGTTACTCCATCATAAACAGCAGAAGCTCTGATTCCATAAATTTTGTATGTAGTCTCATTGTCAATATTATCTTACATTCTTATCTTTGTTTTTCTTATCGTACAATTTTCTAATAACAAATTTTGTTTATTGCACACTATCACTTATTTCACCAATTAAATAATTACCATCTAAAGGCAATTATGAAAAACAGAAACATAAGTTCTATCCTGAAATTTCATTTTTACCTAAACCATTTATTCTCAAGTTTTCTTAGACTCCGAATACATACATTCACCAACCTTAAAAAAACAAACAAAATTTCTACTCATTAAGTTCTTTCCCACAGTTTGGAACTGGGATAGACCTAGGAGTGGTTATAGTGAATAAACAATAAAAAAGTTATTCTCAGTCTTAAATAATCAGCATAACATTCTTCTCTCTATTACGTGTATCTTCAACTTCTTAGCACACTAGCTGCCTGGCATTGCTGTTACAGAAAACAACATTTCTTGAAAAAATCCTGATTGTATATGTTTCAGAATACAATAGTTTTTATTTTTCTTTGAATATAATGGAATGTTTTGGTATAGTATATTGAGGTTGAAACAATAGTAGGCATTACAAGCTATGAGAATTTCTCAAATATGCTGTGAGTATAGCCTCTAACATTTGCAATAAAGGCCATTATTTAACTATTTAACAAATGCAATATTGCAAAACACCCCATTCTTTTAAATTCTTAGGTTGTAAAAATTAAGAGCCATATCTATGTAGTATTTGTCATATAGCATCAAATACAATACCACACATAATTAAGTGCTCAATAGTGCTTTTTGATGAGCAGGATAATAATGACTTTCTAAAAAAGGTCTATCAATCTCAATGGAATAGAGAAAGTGATGGGTGTTTGAACGCTAATATCACACAGATTTCTGAGCTACGAGAGACACCTAAACACTGTCCACCTTCAGGCCTTTAAAAATATTATTTATTTTGGTTTGAATTTATTTTATCTCTTCTTTGTTTTTCCTTCATAGAATTGCATACTTTTAGTCTGAGAAAAAAGGAAACGCATGTTTATCTCACTCTATTATTAACCTTTCATACTGTGTGTTAAAATTTTGGTCTATCTTTTGCCTTTTTTTGTTGGAATTATTCAGATAAACTCAGTTTGCCTTTTGTTAGATTCTTACACCATAAGATTATACTATTTAATATTTTCATGAACTAATATGCAAAAACCAAACCCAGTTATCCACAAGAAGGCATACCAAGAATGTTAAATTATAATACAATTTAACTGAGTTTGTGCATATTAGAACATGAAACATTAAACATATTCATTTTCGTGAAATTTTAGTAGTACTCCTTCCCTGCCCCCACATTTGTTTCCTTAGTGCTATGTACAAGCATCCATATAGCAATCTGAAGATATAGCATACTGTCAAGCTCACAGAATCTGGAGCCAAAAACACAAGGTGTGTGATTGTGAGTAAATTTAATACTTCTCTGCCTCAGTTTCCTCAGCTGTGTAAAATAAGGCTACTCACAACACTTATTTCATAGAATTAGGAAGACTAAATGTTAAAATAATATTATCCACCACATGGAACTCTGAAAATTGAAGAGCTTATAAGACTATCTCAGAGTTATTAAGCCACCAATAAATGCTAGCTATTACTGTCACTTCATCATCATAACCACTACTATCAAGAGTCTTGGAGTTCCTGGGAAGAACAGACCTGTATTTTATTCCATTTTTCTACCTTTTGTGTTGAGCACAGTGACTGGAAAATAATATGAATTCAGGAATTATTTTTAGCTTATAAATTGTGTGTGTTTGTCTCTACCAACAGTGTTTAGATGGATGGAATTTTGGCTGGGGAGCCCTATCTATGTGCCTTGGTTCTCAGTAGCAGTAGAGATGATGTAAATTACCTTTGGATCTACAAATATTGCCTACTCAAAGACTCCTGGAATATGACCTCTCAGCAAGTTCAATTTTTCTGTTGCCACTTGCTTTTCCCCCAGACTATGAGTATATGTTTAATCGATAATGATTTAATGGCTCTTGTCTTCAGGTGCAATGGCTTACCTATGAGGAGAGATGCCATCTCATTACAAAATAGAATACCTCCTTCTTCACTGCCCTGGGCTGCCCTTAGCCTTCCCCAGGTGCCCCAAGTCTACAACAGTAAACTCGTCCATGTTCAGGTGCTCAAAGGCTATGAAACCTTTACATTTCTCTGATAAGCATGAATATAGCTAACTCCTTACTGTCTTGAATATGCTATATGGATAAGTCCCTAAGAAAACAACTCTAGGTACCTATTTTCCAAACATACCAGTTCAGAATCAGTAAGGGAAACCAGGGACTATCCATGAAGTAAACAGTTTTATTTTATAACCCATAGTATACAAAAAGCCCAAAACTTAAAAACAGAACTTTTAAAGCTTACATCCTGCTAATATTAAATTATATTTAAATTTAGAATACCACTAAAACGATCTCTCTTTCATGCCTGAATTCATGGATCATACTTTGTTTTAAACCATGAGCTACTAACAGTTTTCATAGACTATACAAAACTGTTAACTTAGATAATTCTCTGAAATTGCAGGCATGAATTCTTAAAAGAATGCATGGCTTGCAAACTTAACTTAAAAAAAGATCCTCCTAGTTTTAAGGACTGAGAGATTTATTAGTCGACTAAACTTGTCTACTCAGTAGAAAAGAGAAAACATAGGGGAAAAAGTTGGAGCAATGCTGGAGTCAAGGAGAAGAGAATGCCCATCCTAACCTCCCCCACCACCAAAATCACCGCAGCAAGTTGTAAATGATGTATGAAATGACAAATCCCTGCCCAGTGCACAAGAAGAATATAAATACTGCTCTGTAATCACTGCAGTGGTGTGCTACTCGCTAAAATTTTCAGCTTAGGCGAACCCAGGAAAACCTCACCTCATCTGTAAATCCAAAAAAAAAATGAACCAAAATGAGATGATATTATTTTACTGTATGCAACAACCTCCTCTTTTTTCTCTTTCCCTAGCCATAAAAAACATATTTATTGAATATCTAGAATACTTAGGTGTTACTAAGGCATTTGTCTAAGAAAAATTTTTTAAAAAATTTTGAATAAGAAAGTGTCAAAATCCATATATTAGATGGAGGACACTAGAAAGAACTTCCATTCTGGAGTCATCCAGACCCAGGTTTGAACCCGGGTTTTGTTTGAATCCTGTATTTGACTCTAGCTGCATGACTTCTCATGTTTTTAAAATTTCTCTGAGCTTTAGCCTTTTTCTGTGTTAAATGAAAATAATACGTTCTCCATAATTCTGATGATTACCTAAAATGACATAAAGTGTGAAGCCCATTGTCCTATTTGACACAAAGTAAGTACTTGCAAAATTTGGGTCAATATTTTCCTCCCTTTTCATGACGGAGGCATGTGTTCTGGCATGGAAGGAACGCTGCATTTTGAACTGGAAGTTCTGAGTTTGGTTTTTCACTTTTTAATTTATTAGACAATTCACTCAAACTTTCTGAATAGATATTAACTATTTTTTTCATGAAAATAGGTATGTTTTCTCCTATGAAAATAACATACAAAAATGTATAAACTGAAATGTTAAATAAGTATAAGATATTATTATAAATTAACATACCTGAATAAAAAGTATGGACATACATAAGATCCAGGTTTCTATGAATCTGTTCTTCAGAGAGGTGAAAAACTATACTTTTGTCTTATTCTACAATTACGAGAATTTTCTTTGGTCAGTTTCTTCAAGGGCATATTTACTAGAAGTGTCTCATAAAAAAAATTACACGATCTCCTTAAAATGCAGAGGTGAAGGATGCACACATTGGAAGTGGACTCCAGGACACTGATTGTACATTGAAAATCAACTGTCACTTGTCTTTTTCTGTCTCAGCTTTCTATCACACAACTAGCTGCCCTCGTTAGCTCTGGAAGTTGATATTGAGTGTCTACCCCATGCCAGACTAGCTCTCCTTTCTGTGGATAAAGGAACAAGTCACCTTTGGAAAAACTAAGGCTTAGATTCTACTGCTTTTCAAATAACTAACACATTTGGAAATTTTTAGAATCTCTCCTCAGTAAATAATGTTGTAGAGAGCAAACCGAGGCAGAGGAAGGACCCCATACAGACTGATGTAAATCCACATCAAAGTTCTGCCTTCAAATGAAGTGTCATTCCTATTCAAATGTAAAGCTTTACATGCATAAAAATTAGGTGATCACCAGAGGAAAATAAAGTAATTTTCAAAATCTCATTTAATTCACTTAATAAGACCATAAACCAAAGAAAATGAAAAATGCCAAGGAAAAGAGAAGATATATACTAACCAATAACAGGTTTCATTTCCTACTAGGAAAAAAAGAGAGTGCTCAGTAAGATTTGAACAGAGAATGAGGCCAATTCATTTTGATCCTGTGGCAATACTTTGAAGCTTACTTTTTAACCTACTCTATTCTACATTTCCAGATGCTATGAAAGGCAATGTATGCAGAAAGCCAGACCGATGGGGATTTGAGTATTTCATTTTCCCAACTATAGTGATGATTTGGATCTTACTTTTTCTGAAAGCATCTTTAAAGAATTCTTCAGGCTGTCTGGAGAATGCTGGCTTGCAGAATTAAGCAGTAGGTCTGCATGGGTTGCTACAAGAGGTTGTAGTTGATTGATGTTGCTGAGCACTTCTTTTGCTTTGGCTGTGTTTTCAGGTGAATAGTAAATAAACTGGTATCCGGTACTGCAACAACAAAGATAAAAATAAGTTACACAAACAGCATAACAGATATTCAGCCCTTAATACCAGATGGCAAATGATAAACAAAACTCCAAGTATCACTCTTTCCTATTGATCAGATAAGAACTGTCCTAAGAGATTTTTAATAACGCACTAACAATTTTTATGTAAGGTGACAAAAATACTTTTTAAAACTAGGTAATCTTGTCTTTGCTAAAACACTGGGAAGATTAATACTAATATTTGACATGATTACTAATACTAATACTTGACATGACACATATGTAATCATATCAAGTAACAGTATTCAAAACAAATTAGTATTACTATTGATTTCTAATGAACTTGAGGCCATGTAAGTCAGTGGGAAAAGCGAGCTTTTATATTCAGGCCAATCTCAACTTAAATCCTGGCTTGTCACTAACTAGCTGGGTGACCTTCGGCAGCTTTCTTCTTCATCAGGAAACTGGTAATCATCATTCAAACGATTGTATGAGGTGTGTAACATTAGAAATCATTCATATAAAGTGCCTAAAATTGTGCTTGGCACAGAGATAGCATTCAATAACTACTACCTAAAGTTTCCCCCCCATGTTACTAGGTGAGGGCTGTGGAGGAAGTAAATTTTAATAGCTGAGAAATGAGGAGAAAATTAATGAATGTCAAGTGGGCACATGGACAAATATATTGGATAGAAAAATGACATTAGTAGCAGAATGCTATTTCATGGTGTTATTTTATCATGATACTTTTTCTTCTTATGGTTTTCCATTTAACATACAAAGAAATCTAAAACTGATTATTAACTAAAGAATTAATAGACTTTTTTTTAAGAGACAGGATCTCACTCTGTCACCCAGGCTGTAGTACAGTGGTGCAAACAGAGCCTACTGCATCACCTAACTCTCAGTCTCCAGTGATTCTCCCACCTCAGCCTCTTGAGTATCTGGGACTACAAGTACAAGCCACCACACCTGACTAAATTTAAAAAAAAAATTCATAGAGACCAGTCTTACTATGTTTGCACAGACTGGTCTTGAATGCCTAGCCTCGAGCAATCCTCCCCTCTTGGCCTCCCAAAGTGCTGGGATTACAGGCTTGAGAATTATTGACTTTTATAATAATCATCTAGGAACTACTCAAGCACGTTATGGGAGTAGGGATTTTTTAGAGTGAAGGAATCTTTGATCCATTTCATTAGGAAAAGGCATTCCAGCAGGAAAGCTGCAAAACAGCAAAACAGTGGCTAGAAGCAAAGAAGAGGGAAGTAACGACTCGTGCATTCGCAAGATTGGTGTAAACTTGCTTACATCCCATTATACCCAAATATCAAGACATTTTTTCAAAACACTTTGCAGTCAATGTTAGGTATTTACTGAATATGTCTACTACATTTTTTACCAGCTCAATTATTTAAATTCCATAATTTTATTTCTCTCCTTGAAACCTCAGACACCACTAAGAAAAACTGACATCTAGGAAGCATTCTCTGTTCTATTCCTCTCACACTAGTGATTTTTCAGGGGAAAATTACCAGAATCTTTAAGAAAACAGTTTGGTTTTTTTTTTTTTTTTTTCAAACACATAATGAATATTCCTCCTATTTATTTACTTATTTAGTAAAAGATTAAAAGAAATGCTCTTTGAGGCTTGGGCTATTCCGAAGATTGAACAATAAGTCAATGAAGGTATCAGGTTTATGAAGGCTAAAGAAACGCACTACTAGTTTATGACCCTTACAGATATTTGCTCTCAATTTTTTACTTGTAGACTTTTAAATGTCAGAAGTGAGGGCTTCAAATAAAACATACCTTAATTTGCTATTATGTATCTCTTAATGCAAGTTAAAGTAAATGAAAAATAACAATTGTGAGGAGGGAAAAGGAAACAGCAGTCCTTGCCAATTCTTTGTGTCTCTTTCTGACTTCTTGAGTGGTTAAGACAGATCTCATGCAGGAGTGTACAAAGGACTTTAGAAAAGAAATCATGAACTCAGGCTGGATACAAAGTTTAATCCGTAATAGACTTTAATAAATCAAACAGCTCCACATTATTTTTGCAAAGAAAATGATTCTCTAAAGATACAGATGTGTCACCAGAATTTAAACAACGTTTGATACGCAGCAGCTCCCAGAGCAGAAAGCAGGACCTACTTACAGACCCAATGCAGAGCCATGTGGTCGCTGCTATGTGATCCCTCTTTGCAGGTCTGCTATTCTGTCATCAGAGGTTGCTTCCTGTGTCCTCTTATGGCTATTTACAGACTCCCCATGGCTTAGCCTTTGGAAAGCTAGAATACTCATGGCCTTGTGGGGTCTTCCATCTCTCTCTTCACATGACTGCTTTCTGAATGTGTCTTCTCTGGTCTCTCATACACTCACTTCTATCCATTCCATTTTACTCCTATCACTATTGCTTGCCTTCTTTACTATTATTCTTTCCCAGAAGTTCACTGTTACTGTTTTCCTGAATATTACTACTTTCATTATCAAATTCCCTGACAGTCTCTACTCCATTCTTCTCTAATTCACACATTTCTAATATGTATTCTGCACATGTTCTTTACTTACGCCCTAGTTGAATGGTGCTCAAATTTTAGCAGTCACAATGAGATTCCCTTGGGGTTGAGGATAGGCCTCAATGTTTCCTGAAAAAATGCAGATTCCTTGGCAACATCAAGAGATTCTGCTTTAGTAGGGTGTAGCATTTGTGACAAGCACCTCTGGAGATACAGATGTAGGGACGGAGCATCTTTAGAGATACCCTGTCACTGTTTTGACTGAGATCCCCTGTAAACCCTTGATCATGCTACACAAGGACTCTGATAAAAGTTCCCTCTTAAGGTATTCAAATTTTCTTAGCACCTTTTACAAGGCTACTTTTACACCCCATCTTATTCACACAAGTTGCTTTGGTTCCCTCCTCATTACCAGTGTTTGCTCTCCTAACCTTTTTCATCATCATTTCATGTTTTCCCTCCCAATATATTCCCTTTCCTCCCCCCAATACATTCTTCAATCACCATGATGGGACATAATCCTAACTTCTGCCTCTTTCTCCTAATTCAGTCTTCTTTGGAGCAGAGTTATGTAGCAGGCATCGGTTGAAGTCTTTTTAACGATGAACACCTCACCTAGCGAGGCTGAAAGATTCATTTTCCATAATAAAAGCCAATGCTGGTGTCCAGGATGAAAGGATGAAATAGTATGGTATGGAAAAAAATCACCACTCACAAAATAATTTTAAGTATACATAAATTTTATCTACCTATTCAGTGCCTTACTCTTTAAACATGTCATATATTTTAACAGTTATAGCTTCTTAAATGGGAAGTAATAAGTATAATTTAATTATCTCGATAAAAAGAATATAGCTAAACTCTATTTTATAGTAGTACAAAATTTAAACTGGATCCAAACACTTGAGTCAACAATCAATCAGACAACTCTGGAAGAAAGACAAAATATTTACTTGGACGAAATATTTTATAGAATATAAATAGTACTGCAAATCACAGATAATGAAAATTGAAATTAGTTTCATATTTTTTCTATAGATGAGAGAGTGAATTAAAGTGTACTATATACTTTAATATATTCATTTAAATAAGGTAATTTAATATATTTAATATTATTTTCATTAGAATGCACACCCACATCCCCATCCTCACATGTTTGTGTGTGTGTATGTTGTTACTATCCATGTCATATTTTGGAGTTGTAAAAATAATATAAAGCACATAATGAAGTAACATTCACATTCATAAGCTCTAATTGCTAACCAAAGTACAATTAAAACAAGGACTTATATATCCCTGAGTGTATATTTGTGCCAGTCCCTTTTTCCTGGTCTTCCTTATTTTCCTATCCACTTGTTGGCTTGCTTCAAGACTCAGTTCTTGGAACTCTTTTATCTACATGTCCCTCCTAAGTAATCTCATGGTTCAAATATACATGTTGCACTAATGATTTCCAAATCTTCATCTCTAGCCTAGACTTTCACCCTGAACTCCAATGAAAACAAAAGCTCTCCTGTTTACAGATCCAGCTTAACATGTCCCAAACTGATCCCCAGATCTGCTCCCCGCCTTCACCACTCAGCTCCTTTGCACTCTTCCCCATCTTAGATTATGGCAGGTCCATTTAATATTGTCTGTCATTCTTTGGCTCTTATCTTTCATCCAAATTTTCAGAAAGTCGTGCTTTTTCCTTCAAAATATATCCAGAATCCAACCACTTATTTCCACATTCATTGCAACCGCCCCATCATTCCTACCACTAGGATTAGTGCAATAGCTCACAAACTGGTCTCCACTCCTCTGTACTTAAACTTATCTATTGCAAGATAAACAATACTATAAGATATTGAAGTCCTTGACTTATGTTTAGGGTTTGAAGAAGGCAGGAGGCAGACAAGAAGAGAAATACAATTTATTTTCCTTAACTCCTTGACCACAAGTGCACATTGTGGGACTTGCTCTGTTACTTATCCATCCTTTCACTTTCCACTCCATTGCTACCTCCACTCCTTAATCTGTTTGCTCAACCAAGCTACCACTTTGCACAGCGGAGTCATTAAAAAAGATAGATGAGACATGATTTACAGGCAAGGAGGAAAACAAGAAAGAAAAGACAGGGAAGGTGGGGCATGAACAGAAGGGGATTGGGATCGATGACTTTAGGGAAAAATGACTTAGAGTGGTGTGTCTCTTCTCCTGTGGCAGAATTAAATGTCCAGAGGAAAAAAAAAATCTAGAACATCTAGAACTATTTCCCCTTATCTTTTTCTAGCTCAAACACACCCTGTAAAAAACAAAAAACAAACAACAACAACAACAACAAAAAAACAATGTGGTCTCTTGAATCCGGAGAACTTGAATACTCTCAGTTCTGACTGAGAAGAAAATAGTGTGGATTACAAAAGAAAATTTACACCTTAGTGCACTTAAATATACCCTTCTGGTCTCACACGGTTTAATAACGGGCTTTGTGCCTCTCTGCTTT